GACATCTTCAAAACCAAAAAGTCACATCACCATTCCTTAACTCAATACAGTGAAATTTCAAAGTGGTCCCTCTGGGAGGCATACTTAAGGAGGGACAATAAATATTAGGAGTATTATAAAGCTATGAAAATAGACAAAGATGGTTTGAAACCAAAAGATTTATTTGTCCACTCATGCTAAATAGGCATGTTAACCACATAAGGAACTAGAATTTCTGATGCAATTTCTTCCAGTTTATCTTATTAGTTTTAATAAACTTATCTGCCTGGATTCTAAGCCAGGAAGACAAGTTAGGGTTGGACAGACAAGCTCTGACATGTCTTCTGCAAAGAATAAGAACTAGTGGCTTTGAGAACATTGCTCACCTGGGTAAGTTAGCAGCTCCCAAGTGGGTCCACTGTTAAAAGGTCAGCCTTTCAAGGCCTAAGCTTGAAAGGAAGAACCTGTCTCTCCTGCTCCATCTCATTGGCCTGTAAGTCAAAATGTCAAGTCCAGTGTGACCAGAAATGATGATGGGGATTACAGCAAGTGTTAGCTAAAATAAATTAATTTGCTACAAATATTAAATTTCCAAGAACCATTCTTCCTTCAAAGCAAGAAATATACTATGTTTTACAGAGAAGAGTATTTAGATGGACTGAGACTATTTAATTCTTAATTTAACTGGGTAAATCCTATGTTTTAAATAGATAATGCATAAAAATGTATATGTATACATGCTAAAATATATGTTTAAATATATGTAATACTTTGTGTTTGCTCTTTTGCTTGAATGCAGTTTAGCTGCACTGTGTATTTCTCAAAAGCAAATAGCATCTTAAATATTAAATATCCACATGAGACAAAATAATTTCAGACATACTACAAATGCAGGACTTTTTCACAATGATAACATGGAAATTTTATTTTTGTCTACAAAAAATAAACTATGTAATTTTAAAAGTCAATCCGCAGTATACTTATATTTTATTAGTAAAAAGGGTAAAAATATTAATAACACCCCAGAATTAACTTTCGAGCTTATTCATAAACACAATGACAATTTTTTAAAGTAAGCATCATGTGGATTATAAAATATATCTTAACAAATAAAAAGGAATAGAAATCATAAATATCTTTTCCTGGACTGGCAAGTTTATGCTAGTAATTAGTAGAATGTTAAATATTATAAAATACTTGTGAAATAAGTCACATACTTCTGAATAACACATAAGCCAAGAGAATTTAAAGATATTTGAACTAAATGAAAATGAAAACATAACTTCTCAATATATGTGGGATGAAACAAGAGCAAGAAGAGAGAAATTTAATACATTGACTACATTTAGGAGAAATATCTAAAATAATTTGTCTAGGTTTCTACCTGAGGAAATAAGAAAAAAAAACTACAAAATAAGCAGAATAAAACAGTAAATTAGCATCACAAATCAATGAATTTAAAATAAGGAATCAATAAAAAATCATGGGTTGATTTTGAAAAGATCAATAAAATTGATAAGCTGTTAACCAAGAAGAAAAGTGAGAGGACAAGAGTTTGCAATACCAGAAATGAAAGAAAAATGTGACTCCAGATCTCATAGATATGTAAAGAATGATAAAGAAATACCATGAACTGCATGCACTTATATTTGATAACCAAGGTGAAACAGAAAAACCTCTTGAAGAATACAACTTGCCAACACACACACACACACACACACACACACACACACACACACACTATTGGATGACCTTAGTGGGCCTGCACATGCTAAATAAAATGAACCATAATTTATAACATGTTGAAACATTAGGACCAGACTCAGAGGAGTTTACTATTCTTTTGAACATTTAAGAAAGAAGGTGTATAAAAACTTACATTCTCTTTCAGAGTATAGTAACGTAAAGAATAAGTCTTCACTTAATTAATGAAGCCACCATTACCTTATTATCAATAATAGAGACATTACATGAAAAGTAAACTACAAACCAATATCATCCCTAAATATAGTTGGAGAAACTTAAAATGTTAGCATGCGAATTTCAACAATGTAAGACAAGAATTATATATTGTAACCATTTAGGATTATCTCAGGTATATGAAACTGCTCATGATTTTGAAATTTTACTGATTTGGTACACTACAATATCAGGCTAATGAAGATAAATGATATTATTATATCATTTGATATAAAACAAAATTTTACTTCAGCTTAAACACCATTTAACTTGCCTACTTACTATTTCAAAATGGATTTCCTCTGATGAAAAATAAACAATAATGAGAAAAAATTTCATGTTTTCCAGTATAGAAGTACTCATTTCTCCTACTTGTAAAAATTAATTTGATTATGAAAATGAATAAATTGCTCTGGTGATAGTTTGTCTTTGTAAACTTGCTGAAGAGATGGCCAAAAAGTAGAATTTGTTATGAATAAACTGCGTGAAGAAGCAACTAGGATCTCAGTTTAGCGAACAGAAAGTAGTACATGCTCTGTTAAGTACCATATTTACCTCTGAACACAGCCAAAGCACTGAATGAGCAGCTGAGCAGTTTGTGGCTAATTGAGCAAATGTTTTTAATCACTCTCAGGTTAATTTTTTATCTAAAACAGTTGTGAAAGATTTCTTTAAATCAGCATTTTTCTAACTTGAAAGTCAAAAGGAATTTGTAAAATTATTATAAGTTTATAGTGCAATCCTATGCAATATGTAAGTTTCAGGAAAATATAATCATAATATTAATGATGTACAAATTTGGTATTAAAATGATTGTGCTTTAAGAAGAAACACATAGCTTTTCTGTAGAGAACTGTTTGTGAAATAGTTGGCTTATCTCATCAATCTTGTACTCTTGAAGTGACGATACACACAGCTGAAAGTTGGACTTCCACAAAAGTTATTTAAAATTTTCTTGTATTTATGCACTGTTGGAACAGAATCTACCGTTACAGTAGGTCTTTGTCTTCAAGGTCCTTATAGGTTGAGCTAACAATATGTAAACACCAGAGGATGTGGTTTCATAATTGCTAAATGGACAAACATCAAACTCTAATTGAAGAATTATTAATCATGTAAATTATTTATGTTCATACTATGTGTCCCTTGAAATGTCTAATAGACAAATTTTTTTTTACTGCAGAAAACAGATAGTGGGTGTTTGGCCATTGTCAGAGGAAGCAGGAAGCAACATATAAAAGGGATAACAGTAAATAATATTGAGATAAAACAATGGACACCATTAAAACAAATCACACTTAGGTAATAGATATGTGTCCAAGATCAGTAATAAAAACTCAAATGGAATAAAATATATGCAAGTATAAAATATATCACCTTCTCTACAAAGTGTGTTTTCAAATATTAGCTAACAGGTCAATTACTCAAAATTTGTAAATATTTCAAAAATTTAAATTTTTCATACCCACATAATGCTATGAATTCAAATAATTTATAGCATAACACAAATGAGAGTGATTATCATTTTGCAAGGATTATGTCTTGCAATTTTCACATTAACAAACATAATATAGGAGAAATAAACAGATTATGTGTAAATTCACTATTATTCATAGTCTCTTTGAAAAGTATGAAAATAAATGTATTCATTTTTAGAATTTTAGGCTATATAAAACATTGGATATAATATGATAATTTTGAAAATAATTTCTTGGATATTTATTATGTGCTAAGCATTTTTCAATGTTTTCTTCTAAAAGAGTCATATGATGATTTTTGTTTAGCAAAATTATAAATAAGTAAAACATATGCATATGTGTTTATCATATATTGCACAATAACCCATGCATATTCAGTAAAAGGAAATATATTTCCTTAAATGGTTGTTATTGGCTGTCTTTTCATAAGCAAAGGAGAGGAATTAGAAGTGAAGGGAAATTTCAGAATGCAAGTTTTGTGAAAAGTCATAAAGCATCATGAAGGTTTAGGATGATTTCTTGGAAACATTATCCTCAATAATTTTATAATATGTGTCAATAACATTCTTTTACCCACTTTTTTCTAATTTAGAAGCAGCCATTTTAGTATCTAAGAATCAAGTTTGGAAAAAACTTCACATATAAATATATATAAAGAATATAATAAATAATAAATTTTGTTTGTGATTTTTTTCATTTTCCCCTTGTCCCTGCCCTCCCTTCAGCCCCTCCTCCCCTCCCCATTTACAAACATTTTATTTCCATTTTTTCATTTTCTCCTATTTTTTCTTTCCCTTATTGCCTTTCCCCTACCTTTCCCACTTTCCCTACACCTTTAGCCCTTTCCTTCCTATTTCAGTGTCAATTATCTCATTAGGATCTTATGTACTATTATAGCTTGTTCACACCAGAGAAACTACTTGGTATTTACACATGTGACTTATTTATTTCACTTAGGTGTTTATCCTCAATATGTATCCATTTTCCTATGAATGAATCTAATTCTGTTTTCAATTTAAAGGACCCTTAGTATATTTAGATGGTGTATTAATAGCATACCTATGGGGTTTGTGTAAGTGATTTTCATATCACAGCATTCTAAAGTGCTTCCTCACAATGTGTATAGAGATCGATTTTTCATTCTCAGGCACTTTGGCATACATCTTTTTACTTTACTGTTCATTGAGTCATATTTTTAATTAATTATCTAATGAGTTTTGATAAATGAAGCTGAATGTTTGGACAGAAAATAAATCCAGTATAATTTTAAAAATAAAAAATTGGGGGCTGCGAATTTAGCACAGTGGTACTGTGCCTGACTCACAAGCTCAAAGTCATGAGTTTTATCCCTGGTACAGAAAAATTTGATTGAATTTACATAATAGCATTATTATTGTTATATATGAAATATATATCTTTAAGTTATGTTTAATTATATATGTGTCAAGTTCATGAAAATAGTATCAACTAAAAACTAACAAAACAATTGTGCCTATTTGATAATATTTTTATATTTATTTTTTTTAACAAAATAAAGTTAGCATTTTGCTTACAGTCCCTTTTATTTTTCTCATCTTTTTTCAGGTGACACAAACATCTTCCATTCATGATGTTAAACAAAAGTTTCACAAAGCATGTAAGTTTCATATATTATTTAGTTTTATCACTATCTTTTCCATTGCTTCAAATATATCTAGAAGAATAAATTAAATATGATGAGAAAATATAATGCATAGCTTCCAGGAAGCTCATAAATACGTTTACACCTAATTCTTCTTGGTTGAGATTCTGCTGGCTAAACTATATAGCTGCTTCTTTAACCTTCAGTGTCTTACATTTTTTATGAAATTGCTTCCAATTCATATTTCAACTTTTCCTAAGTGGAACTTTTGTATGTATCAAGGTATTAATTGATGCAATTAAATTTAAACATATTTAGCAAAAATGTAGTGCATTTACTTACAGTGGTCAGATTTACTAAATGTAGAAATTTGAAACAACAAATAAAAGTTGTACTGTTTAATTTCATTCATGGTTAAGTTTACCTCATGAACAGAGTTCTTACAATTTATTTGAAAGTATTTATATTTGGTGTGATTAACATATTTTTTACACTGTTTCCGGAAGTTTATAGCGATGGCTGAACATAGCAAAAATATCTGGCAACATGGATATCCCCATATACTCAGGGCCCAGGACACACAGGGTAGATTTCCCACTGTAAATATTCCTCTCCAGTGGCACATTTGTTGAGTGGGCGTAACCACATGGTCACATCCTAATGACCCAAAGCACTGGAGTTCATTCTTCCAGTTGACCATCTTTGAATTTCTCCAGGCAGCATTTTTAATAAGTTTGAATTTATTTGAACAATATTTCTTTTGTGAACCTCCAACTTAATTAATTAAGCTTTTTATTTATACTTAAAAGTCAAATAGGTGGACAATTTCCATTATTTTGTTTCTGGAAAAATACTCAATATTCATTGAATATTTTCTATATATATAGAAATAGAATATAGAATACAGAATAGAATATTTTATATATATATATATATGTATATATATTAGGTAATTAGACAATGAATAATTCAGTAAAAGTAGATGTGTTATTTAGCCATAAAAACATGACTAAAAATATAGGAATTAATTAATGTACATAAAAGATATTTCAAATACTCAGTACACAGAATACTTTTTACCCATTTCAGGGAATCTATTTAGAATTAATAATTGTAGTAAACATATATACAGAAGAGAAAAGAATTGTTTAAAATATTACCCAGACCAAAATTTTTGAGGAAGGTCAGTTCAAATATTTTATATTACAGATAAGTAGGGTTTAAATTTGTTGAAAAAAAAGAACAAGCAAGGTATCATACTAAGGGAAAAAAGAGAGAGAAAAAAGAAAAGAGAAATAATAAGCGAGAAGGGAATTGAAAATTACTTTTCTATTACAGAAATAAAATGTAACAAAATCTTTGCATTTAAAATATAATGCTCTAGTTTAAATGTATTATGTCTACTGTCTGTAAATGATGAGTCAAAGTGTAAACTGTGCGCAAAAAAATGTGTTGTCATCTTGTAGGAAAATTATGACCACTTTTTCAATGGTACCCAAACAGAACAATTATATAAATTCTTTAAGTTTTAGAGCTATGTTTTGATGTTTCTGTGATCCAGAATCTATTTTAGTAATTAGAAATTGAGCAAAAATGTAGAAATTCGAGAAATATTAGGTTGCATAAATAGGTAATTTAAAATTTGACAAAAATAAAATTGAACAATAGTGCAGTTAATTTTAATGACTATATTAAGACTTAAGGATTTATTTACCACTGTTATTTTGTTCTCCTTCACAAGCACAGTGTTAACCTTCAAAAGGCTTCAACTGTGACATTTTCAAGTCCTTGAAAATTCGATTTCAACACTATATCATAAGCTTGGAAGGTAGAAATAATATTCCAGCATATGTATTTTTGTGATATTTTATTTCTTCTTGGTCTTTAGGTTTCATATGTTCAAGAAACACAAACACATTTTTTGTCTGTACTACATCATAGAAAATATTTAAAAATTAATTCAGTTATACACAATGTTTATTATATTTAATGTAAAAGACATATTGCAAACAGGGGAATCTATGACCACTTGGAATATGGTAATTTTTTAAAGCCATGTACTGATTGATGTAAGATCCTAATTTTGTCTAACACATTTTAAAGTTACACATGAAACAACCACAGTCAGGTTTTATAAAATCACTTATTTTCTGAGACCAATTGTTTTTTTTTTATTTGACATTACTAACATTACTTTTTTTCAGGCCCTAGATTTAGAATAGACATTGTCAATTTTAAAAGTAGGTATAAAAATAAGTCACTCTTATCAGAAAACTGTGTTTCAAAGGAAGGATTCTCCTTCCATGTCTTTTATCTCTAATCTTTGTTTTCCTAGGTTTTCTAAATGGTTTTGACATTTTCTCTACCTTTATCTTTTTACTTATACCAGCTTTGTATTTCTCTTAGTTCTATGTTGTACTAAATTTGATGTGAGTTTTGTAGTTATTTACAATGACCATGTTAATAGTATTCCAAGGTTGATAACATTTTTTAATTCTGTGTTGTGGTAAAAACTATCTTTTAAATTACACTAGTGACAAATCAGCAATTAGAAATAAAAAGAGTATAAAACCATAATTAAGACATCATTCTAAGACAAGGAAACCTGTTGTTTTTCATGAAAAGAGACACTTATAATATTCAGTTATATATTGCTCTTATACACACAAAAATACAATTTCACCCATTTCTAATATTCTCTTTTAATGCTTTCAAAATGCCTATAAACTATTTGGACAGTGAGAATTTATGTAAGATTCTGCCAAAGTGGAAAGGGGATACCACCAATGGTTAACTTTAAAAGTGTAAGTGACAGCAACTCAGGACAAAGATATAGTGACTAGATTTATCTCATATAGCATGTAATGAATGTATTCTAGGAAATCTGAAAGTAATAGCCAGATGAAAAACTGTGGTAAGTAGGCAAGCTGTTTATATTCATTCTTTAATAACAGCCGCAATTACATTTTATGTAAGCTATGAGAAGTGGCTTTTCTAGAAACTTAAGCCAAGTTCTAATAAGATCTCTAAAGAGTTAGCAGCAATATCATCATTTTTTCATACTTTTTACAGATTTCATGATTGACATAAAATAACAGAATCTGTTAGTGCTAATGTTGTAGTCATTGAATAAATCCTGACAAATATGTCCACTAGTATCAAAGAAATTCAATTATATTCCTGCTTTCACCCCTCAGCTGCACATAACAAATAATAAGTCAGCTATTTCTTCAGCTGAACTCAAATAAAAATTGTCAAATAAAAGTTTTCATGAATTATGTTTCACAGATTTAAAATTGAAATTATTTTTAATATATCTTTTTTTTTACTGAAAATATTTCATGTATTCTTTAATGATCTTATAACACAGTGTCTTTTCTCAACTTTTGGAAATCATATTTTTTATAATTTGGCCTACTATAACATTTGATAATTTACAAGACTTAATTTTGTTTTATTATTTCATGTTCAAATTGGACGACTTCTCATTGTGGCTACTTTAAAATACTGGTCAAATTTATATGCTATATATGTATTTCATATCATATATATTTGTACAAGTTCTTTAAAGTATATTACATAATTTTATTTATATTTACATTGTTTTTGTACTTATAGGAGCATAAGTTTGAAGACACTTTAGAATATATTAATAAATGAAAGCAAATTTGTGAAATTTTAATTTTACATTACTGTAAATCAGTACTATTCTAGTCACAGTGGTTTTCTTGACCCTTAAACACAGCTGTCAAGTTATTTTCAATTAATCTTTGTCTATTTCAAAAATAATTCATTGACTTACTTAAGTTATTGGTAGAATTTTAGAATCTTAAACAAGAATTCTGGAGGAAAACAATTTTCAAAATCTAAAAATTTCAGGGAAATTAATGATTTGCTTACTCCCAAAGTGTCAAGTTGAGATATAAAAATCTAAAGTTTGTATCATCAACCAACATTACATAAAGAGCCACAAAATGTATTGAGATTGATAATAATATTTTGAAAAAAAAGCAATTCTTTCAGAACACACTGGATTTCAAATCTATTTGACTATGCTATGCAATGTAACCTGCTAATCATGAATCATAATAATATATTGCTCAAATTTGGTTTGTATTATATTTCACTAAGATTTTCTATTTTAAGCACAGCTAATAAACTGGGCTTGCTGTAACAGGCCTGATGTGACAGTACTCTGGGAGAACTGCTTTTTCAACTCTAGCCTGGGCAATTCAGTCATTTAGCAAGTCACTCGCTCAAAATTTGAAACAAAAAAAGGCACTGGACATAGATCGGTGAAAGGCCTTGGGTTCAATCCACAGTATAAAAGTCAAAACAAACAAAAATACAACCAGTTAATGGCAGGCAGCATAGTTCTAACGGTGCTGTCTAAATCTTCCTGAATATTTCATTTAAAGGCTCTCGCTACAAGTATATCACCTACATTCATTTTTTAATATTTGTATTTATTAGTACATCTTAGCAGTACACAATACTTACATTTAGTTTAGGGAGTTGGTACATGCATGTTACACATCTTGACTCTTTTTACATAGCCCACTTCTGCCCTACCTCTCCACTTCCTACATTTCTTCATCTCTTTCCCACTTGGAAAGTTCTCCCCAACTTCTAGTTTATATAATTTATTTTAATTCTTATCTTTTATTTTTCATTGATTATATAAAATAAAGCATACAATATTTAAGCTTGTGTGTCTGATTTATTTCATTTAACATTATGGTCTCGAAGTGTATCCATTTACCTACGAATGACTCAAGTTTTTCCTTTTTTTATGGTGGCATACTTACACCTATAAACCCTCGTTTTCTTTATGGCTTAAATATAAATTACAATATAAACCACGGTCAAATATTACTGTCCCCAACTGCGTGTGGCATTGAAAATTATCTGTTATCACTGCTGCTATTTTAAAATACTGGCCAACTTTATATTGGCATATACGTAATGTCATTGGATGCTCATGTAAGAGTTGAGAATTCTATTTACCTGCGTGG